TTATATAGAATGACTATTTTATTAATTTCTCTATAAAATATTCATTTATATATATCAAATATGTAATGATTAAAAAACGGAGACATATTTTGTTGCTTCTTCTTTCCTGATGCTTATTTTGTTTTTATCTAAAATTATTTTTTAGATGACTATTTTAACCTTATTACCGTTGGTTTTATTATGGGATTGAAAGGTTAAGTCGGTATTTTACTTCAAAGTTGGGATTTTGGAGTGGAGTAAATGCATGTGCAACTGCTACGTTACCGGCGTTAGAATCGCTTCATCCATCGCTTTCTATCAGGAAACCACCAAACCATATTTAAAACGAAATGCATATTTTTAATCAATATAAAATATTATTTTATATTTTTATTAATTGGAATAAAGAGAAAAATACTGTATTTTAAAGAATCACCTGATTAAATCATGATTCTACAATCATAAGCTGTTATTATAAACCATTTAATGTTTAATTTTATATTTCCTGTAATAAATAATTATTACTTCAAATATTATTAAAATCAGAATGCTTTATTTTGACAATATATTAGGTTATTATATTTAAAGATATTGTTGTTTAATGTTGCTAAATCTTTGTTAATCTCGTGATTAAAACATTAACTCCGACAATTTCGGGATTGCTAATCATGTCTTCCATTATTAAGAAGGCTTCATTTTTCATGATGATGTGGCCATTCTAAAACTATACTATGCTATCCACGTGTCCTTTCTAATCATTCTTCAATTAGTTTTTAAATTTGATTAATGTAGGCATTGGAATGAAGCCAGACCCAATCCCTAATCTTTGTCTTTGTCTCTGTCTCCACTCGATGCCCACCCTCGATCAAGACGGATACACTGAGAAGCTTCAATCACATTTCAAGTTCATTGTATTGAAATTAAGTTTGTAGATGTATATTTTTTATACAACTTTCATACAAATGAGTCATCCTTCTAATTTTTTTAGTTAGCAGTCTTGTTTGAAATTATATTATGATATTATAAATTACTGATATCTGCATTTTCACTAATTTTATGGGTCTGCTACCGTTTCAGATAAAGTTGGCATCTCAAATATTATCATTTAGTTGAATGCCTCTTATCAGATAATACTTCTCAATCATCATCTTTGCATGCATTAGACTTCACATTGATATATAAAAATTTGTTGTCTAATTAACGAGTGCTGACAAGATCATCAATACTTATTTACGTTTAATTGTGAAACAATAAGCATTTTAAAGAGCGACAATCGTAAAATGTCATTTAATGATTTTTAAAAATAATAATTTAACGATCTATATAATGGTCTTGATAATAGACACATGTTTTAGATCCTGAACAACCAATCCATCAAATTATACGACGTCTTTATATCTTATTCAATAAAAGCATCCTCAAATTGAATGTACGAAAATCCTCAATTGAGAGTCAAAAATCTCAACCTCAAAAAAGGGTTGTTAAGATTCAAGTTTTTTATATACTAACATAAATTAATTCACATATGAACGGTACAAAAATGAACTTTATATATAGTAACATTCATACGAAAACGCAACAGTGAATATAAAAACATATGGTCGATCAATTTAAAAATACGAGTGTCAAGCTGAATAGACACAAATATTTGTTTTAGTTTGTTCAGTTTCAATTTTAGTATATTTTAAATTTTGTTTTTGTTAACTATGAGTGTCCGGACCAACTTACACATACCTCAACTAATTCTAATGACCGTGGAGAACAGTATGGAAAATCACAACAATCTTGCAGGAGTAAAACCGATGATTTTTTAAAAAAAATTCAAAAATCTCAGGTGTTATTACCAAATTGAACTAACCCCATATTTAAAAAAAATAAAAAAATATATTTTAATTAGAAAAATAAGTTTATATTAAATTTTAATTTGAAAATAACCATCCTTTATGCCACCACATCCTTATTACCATTGATAAGAATTGAAGGCCGAGATAATTCTCGCTGTAACTTTTTTTTTCCGTTTGAACGTTCGCTTTTTACAGATAAAATAAAACATTGTTAGAAGTCATTTATCAAATTCTTATCAAGTAAGTGTCTACCGGATGTCATTTAATTTATTGTATGAATATGACAAAGTTGATAATCTTATCTGGTAAATGAGTAAGAAGACCATTTTCCGATAAGCATAAACCAGATAAAATATGCTTACCAAATATAAATTTTAATAATCCAGAATGCTATTATTAATAATCAGTAACGATATAACTTTTACCGATAAATATTTAACAGGTAAACATTTAATAAAGAGTCTGTTAATTAAAAAAGTAGTTGGTTTTATTAGGTGTGGAAAAAGTACACCTAAACATTAGAAAGGAGCAATGAATAGGTCTGCTATAGAGGCATGTGGGTGGGGAGGTGCACACCATGGTTTCAACCTTGATCACTTTCTTTTGGAGTTGGTCTTCTTTGCCAGGTTTTACCTATCAAACCAAGATTTCTCTTATTGAATTCAAATCTTTCTTATTAAAACTCAATTTAATGTCTCAACTTTTCTCTTAAATTGGACATTCAATGTTTTTTTTATTAACCTGGATATCCAACCCGCTATGTGAGCCGACTAATCTCAGAACGACCACCTGTTTTGCAGATTGCTCGGAGTCACCACATTTAAACTTTCGTGGCAACAAGGGAGTTTTTATTCCTTCTTGGATTTGAACATCAGACCTCCTGATACTTTTGACCTTGGAAGCCAAACTCAAACCAATGTTATATAACTGCACATGCTTTTACAATTAAACCACGAGTCGCATCCTTGTATTTATTTTGACTTTGGGACTAGAATAGATAAAAAATTGAAACCACTGGGACTAAATTTGCAAGTTATTCTAGATTGTATTTTAGAGTTTTCCATTACAAATTTAGAAATAAATAAAATTTAAACTTATAATTATTAAGAGGAAATTGTATTTTTAAAAGATAAAATTTCAATGGTTTTCTTTTTGTTATTATTTGATTTAATAAAGATATAAACAAAACCATTAATGAATATTATTTCTGACCATAATCACATGCAACTACATATATTTAATATCATTATGAATATATAAAAAAGAGTAAATTCAGTTATTAGATGAGGGACTCGTGACCTAACTTGTTAAATAGCTCGGGGGAGCCTGTACCTGTATGAAGCTACTACTTGAATAGTTTGACTATTCAAGTCAACGTCGAATGTAACACAACTTTTGATCGGTGGTTTGATTAGTTAAAATGTACAAGGTTTAAAGGTTTGTTTTTAAGGTCGTATAGTGTATACGGATTAAGCTACTACTCCTACGAGCTAAATTAAAGCTCAACTCTTGCCCAGACTTGATCAAAAGTTGACATAGAGCTTACAGATACCGATTGTGAAAATTACAATCATATTGTTTGCAAGACTAACGTCAGAACCATGAAAACATTTAGGGGCTGTTTGACAATTGTTGATTGATTTGATGCAGAATGATTACGTGGGTCGGAATGATTAAGAGACTCTCATGATATAGTGCAAAATGAAATATAATTGTTTGGTAATTATGTACAATGAAATTAGGGCTCTTAATGGTTAAGAGGGATCCATAATACAAAATCATTCAGATGATTTTAGAACCATTAAGAGACAAACTTTTTTTTACCAACAAGATTCACCTCTTAACGGTTCAAAGGTTGTCTCTTAATGGAACTATTAAGAGGTAAACAAACAGCTCCTTGGTTATTTAAAATACGAGACAGTAAGTCTTATGCTTTCTATTATTAGTTTATGTTGTTGATAAAATTTATGGTTTTTTATCATTTCACAAGAATGACACTGTACTAGTTATAGTTTTACGGTATGAAACAATATTTTAGTGTTATCATTATATAATAACACATATAACTGTAACAATGTTCTTATTCACATTATTGACTAAAACAACTAATATGTAGAGATTTCTTATTATTTTTTTTTGGCTAAATAAGTTTTTATAAAAAATAACGTTAAAACAACAATTACAGAACTTTAAAAATTCATATAACTAACAACTTTACATGTTTTCATAATAACAGAAGATTGAAAATAAACTTACCGAGTTCGTTTCCAAAACATTATGGCTATAAACGTCCACTTACAATAACTCCATGCTATTTATAGTTGTTTGGAAAATTAATCGGTACGTATAAACTGATCCGAAAACCCGATGAAAAAGGTTTAAAATAAAAATGGAAAAATTATTAAAATAACCATTTTTCAGAGTTGGTTTCATCTTTTAGCCATTTTTTCTTCAACTTTACCAAATAGCCAAAGGTCCGCCAAAACCCACGTCTATAATTGTGGACCCAACTAAACGACAATTTCTTTACACCTTATACTCCTGTAAAAAAATTACATTTTTCACCAGAACCGTAAAAAAGTTTAAAATTATAAAACTAGAGCCATTTTAATAAACCTTGTAAAAAATAGATAAAAGGTGAAACAAAGAGGTAAAAATAGCTATTTTAATTAATTTTTCAAATGAAAATCGATGTAACGAACAACGTGAAAGGGATGGTTGGGAAAAATGGGCGTCGCATGTGGGTACAGTAGTTTGTGGGCCCCATGTAAGATTCACCTCAGATCTTCCCCTCCTCAACAAGTCGTGTTAGAAGTCGCTTGGTTTAACCGTTTTATTTTAATGGCTTCACTTTTTATTAATTTCTTTTCAAATTTATATAAATATTACTTTTTATAAATATTGATACAAACATTATCGTTTTTTCAGTATTACATAAAATCGTATTATAACATTAACGAAGATAAAATAAAACAAAACATTAAAATCAAAATGTATTACGTTATGAACATTTGACAAAAAGAAAAATGCATAAAAGATAAATAAATGTGGAAACCTCACGTAGTTTTGTGGTTGGTCCCCAGCAACAGCCTTAACCTGTGTCAGTTAGTTGCGACGGTTCACTCTAAATTCTTCTATTTATATCATTCCCCCCTCTTCCCATTCCATTCCAACCTCATCATTCCAATTCCATGGCTCTTTTCCCTATCTTCTTTCTCGCTCTTCTTCCCTTCGCCTCTCCTGTTCTCGCCGGAGGCGGTTGGGTTAATGCTCACGCCACCTTCTACGGCGGCGGTGATGCCTCTGGAACAATGGGTAATTACATCATATCCTTCATTTCTATTTTCTCTCTTCTTCTTCTTTAATTTCGATTAATTAAAACTTTGATTGATTGAATTTTTGTACAGGTGGAGCTTGTGGCTATGGCAATTTGTACAGTCAAGGATATGGTACCAACACAGCAGCACTAAGTACTGCTCTCTTCAACAATGGTTTAAGCTGTGGCTCTTGCTTCGAGATTAAATGTGTTAACGACGGCAAATGGTGTTTGCCGGCCACCATTCTGGTGACTGCCACCAACTTCTGCCCACCAAACAACGCCTTACCTAACAACAATGGAGGGTGGTGCAACCCTCCACAGCACCACTTTGATCTCTCTCAACCTGTCTTCCAACACATAGCCCAATATAAAGCCGGAATCGTTCCCGTTGCTTATAGAAGGTACTCAATTCAATTCAATTCCCCCTTCTATCTAACTAGAGGCGGATACATAATTCATCACCATCACAGGGTTATTTCGGTCAATTCACTATGTTCTTGTTTTTGTAGGGTACCCTGCCGAAGAAGGGGTGGTATTCGATTTCAAATCAATGGCCATTCTTACTTCAATCTGGTCTTGATTACAAATGTGGGTGGTGCCGGCGACGTCCATGCGGTGGCGATCAAAGGTTCAAGAACTGGGTGGCAGCAAATGTCGAGAAACTGGGGGCAAAATTGGCAATCCAACTCTTATCTAAACGGGCAGTCTTTATCTCTTAAGGTCACAACTAGCGATGGCAGGACTGTTGTGTCTTATAATGTTGCCCCTGCTAGTTGGTCTTTCGGTCAGACCTTCAGTGGTGCCCAGTTTCACTAAAAAGACATCCCTACCTCTCTCTCTATACATAGCTAGTATTAATTCAATAACCAAGTGACTTTATATATTTTGAAAAGGTCGTTTTGGTTTTTAGGGGTACCCTCTATTCGAAGGGTATTCTCTTTTTGTTTTTTAATTATGGGTATCTAGACCGGCTTCTGTTTATCTGACTAATCCAAGAGAAAAAAATCCTCAGTGATGTTGCAAGAATCGAAACGGTGACCTTTAAGATATCTATCTTCTTTTGCCTAAAATTGTTTCTCCTGTTTAAAGAAGGGGAAGGAATGGGCAGTGGTGGACTTTAACCACCCGCAAGCACTACTAGTAGTTGAAGATGTCCTTATTTTGTAATGATTCGAATTTTCAAGGTACTAAGTTGTAAATTTCATGGTTTTATGGGTGGTAATGGAAAGTAGCTAGAACTTATTATGTTATTTGAGTTGGTGTACAAGTTAAATTGCTCAACTTACAACATTTATTTGCATTTTGAGATAAAACACTAATGATTAGGGTTTGGGATTCGATTGCCGAAACCCTAATGCCGAAGATTAATAGATATGGTACATAATATAATTCGTATAAAATACAGTTTAAGTTTAAGTTCATTTAATTGAACACCTCTGCTATATCCAATTTTTTTTTTATTATATTGCGTAAATGAGATAATAGAGAATATATGTTAAGAACAAAATAGGTTAAACCTAAAACGATTAACAATCTGAAACTAAACCTAAATTATTAATAATTTGAACCTAAAACAAATAATTAATGGTTTGAACCTAAATAATTTTGGCTATAGTATTACACAGATCGATAGAAAACCTTAAAACACATGTAAATTTGGGCGCCCAAATTTACCAATTGACTGAAAAAGATGTATTTTATTAACTCTTGGTTGGGCCTGGCCCAATACCGGTTAATAGATTTTAACCCAGCCCATATATAGTAAAAGTTAAACTTGGGCTCTCAGCACTACTTTTATTTCTTTCTTTACAAATATTGATTTTGCTTCTAAGCCCAATTATGATGGTATAACTTTTGCCATAACACTCATGTGAAAACAAAATATGGGTATTATACCGTTATTCAATCGATCAAATCAGTTTTCGAGTTATTTGGCCCAGGTTAAACGGTTTTTGAAGTTTTTCTAAGCTATCTGTTTACTGAGAAGAACGAGGTTTAGTTTAATCAGTTTCAGATTATTTGGTTTTTTCGACCCATAACACAAAGCTCGATCTTCAAGTAAGAATCATTCTTGGTTCTACCTGGTCGAATCCAAGTTCATTTGTCTTGTAAATGTTTTTAATAGATTTTAGCCCAACCCACAAACTGTCAAAAGTAATAACGCTTGGGATTACTCCTGGTTATTTCTAATATATATTAGTAACATGTTCATGGAATATTGTGGTATGTATCTCGATCTAAAACAGAGAACATTTCTAAAATGTCAATCACGTTTCATTTTTTCCTCTTTTTTGTCCTTCCCGATACTAGTTGTATATCCATAAAATGTAGTTAGAATAGATCTCTAATACAAATAGGTTTTTACCAAATAAAATACATATGTTGATCCGTTTTACATTTTTATGTTGAATGTGAGATGGAATGAAAAGCAGGTTAATGTTAAGGTTGTGAAAAACATGTTTACTTGTGTGAAAACGATTAGTAGATGATGTTGTTATGGTAATATTCCTCATAGTTATCGGTTCTAATTTTTCCAAGACTCTTGAGACTAATCGAAGTGCAAACAAGTTGGCCTAGACACCATGGTTAAAAACGACTGTGGCTAATTTTAAAGTTTTTTAATTGGCGAATATAATATATGTTGAGAATTTTATTCTTGGTTGCTATTATGATTTTGAAGTTGAAGTTTGCAGTTCATTAGTAGAGGAATTATTTTTAATGATTTTCTCATATGCTAGCATTGCATCAAAGGATGAGAAGATGTTAAGAAAATGTTTCTCAATAAAACATAATGATATTTACGACAAATACTTAAATGCATGTTTTTGATTTTAATCATGCCATTGCCAAATGCTTTTTCTAATAAAATGGGAATCAAGTCATATAAATAATATTTTTCCATAAATAACGTTACTTATATAGCTCTCTTAGAAAAATAAAAATAAGACAACAATAAAAAAAAGTAGGTTTGTAGTAGATATGTGTGTGTGTGTATATAGACTTAAGATCATAAGAGACAAAACTGTTTTCGTGAGACTATTTTTTTACACTTGGAATTTCACAGCAAAACACTGTGAAGATAACCTTCACAGTGTTTTTGCTGTGAAGGTTCGGCTTTTTTTACCTTCACAACATTTTGTTCTGAAGTTTCAAGTGTAAAAATCGTGTCTAATGAAACAACTGTCTCACTGGAACCCAACCCTGTATAGACTTGAGAACATGATGCTCTTGGCCCAAGCCTCTTCGGCCGAGTTGATTACATGTTTGATTTTTCCTTCTTTCAACAATCCAACCAGGTAATCCAGGTTATTGGCTTTCGGTCAAAAGAATCGAATTCTCGAGCAGGTGAGTTTCTTCACATTACTATCCAAAAATGCTTTGTACCGACTGTTTTTTTCAACCAATCAATATAAATACGAACTGTTTTTCAAAGCAGAACTTTTACAATAGATATCTGTATAAATTTGAATATTGGTCTAACATTTTCAGCATTCAGACCTTACAATAGAGTCTACTGGTCTAGCATTTTCACAATTAAGGGGTAGAGAAAAGATCACCCCATACAACTGAATATATTGGGTTGGTTTGTTTGGTTTAGTTTTGATAAGTTATAAAATAACAATCATAAACTTCTACATGCTCAAAATTGGTACAATGTTTTGTATAGGGGTGAGCCGTACCCGAATACCGGACCCGACCCGACCCAAAAAACTGCAGAAAGTCCGACCGCAAATCCTGATTAAGTCTGACACTTGAAACCTGATATTTTCTTCGAGTAAGTAGGATCGGGTTGGGTATTCTACTCCACCCCAACCCGTGTGACGACCTGATATTTCAATTAGTATTTTATATATTTCCTTTTAAGTTTTAACTAAACCTAACATAATTTTCAAATCGATGACGACCTCACTTCCTCAATCGAACTTTGACCTCAGTCCACGAGAGACGATAGCACAAGCCACGACCCCCCCCCCCCCCCCCCCCCCC